AATTATATTGTTAAATATTTGGAACTGCATGTCAATAGCCACTAGAAATAAAACCTTGTATTAATCTGTGTCAAATGAAAACACGTCGTCATAACACTCAGTCTCAACTTAAACACTAAGTACTTAATCCAAAGGCTCTTAACTTGAACCATTGGCAGATAATATAACTACCCAACAGCGGACTGATGACAGTGCATTGTGAACAATGGCAAAGAAAGCAATGCAGACTCAAAGTAAAAATGTGTTTTGAGTCATGAGCTGAAGAAAGAAACATCTAAAAAACAGAATCTGAAACTAAAATAAAATCACCTTTTGGGTTGCATATATTGTATAGACAAGCACAACCATCAGAATAATAAGACTTGAAACAGACACAAAACTGGCATCACACACTGAGTACTCGGATTGTCAATGCAGTCAAGTGAGTTATCATTTTTCTTAAAAACACTTGTTCCGAAGCATATACCTTATGTATCCTTTCTGGTCATACAAAGTAGATGGGGTCTCCAGTAATTTATTCAGCAAAAGATTCCTCAAAGCATCGATCCGCGTTTCTACCTCTGCATAAACTGGAACAAAAAAAAAAAAACAATTCGATGAGGGAAATAGTTCTCCGAAAAAATAAAACTCGAGGAACGATTCCATGAAGCAGACATTCCTTATCAAAAGGTCATCAATTTCTGTACACTGAAATTATTTGAATTCTATGCACTCACCATGCTCGTTACAAATGTATCATATTTGTTTCTAAACTTAATTAAATACATTATCTGCTGATTATCAGATTACAGCAAAAAAAGTATTTAAGAATATTTTCAGACAAGAGCAACTCATTAAGGCAAATCTTGTTTTGACTCTGTCCGTGCACTGTATTTTTATCATTAACTGTGGAAGATGGCAGAAATAAGAACCTGGTCATTTACTGCATGCATTAATACTACGTTGGGCAAAAGTACTTCTTAGAATCTACTTTTAAGCCTCTATCCTATCCTTGAAAAAACTAGGCTGAAATAAAATCAACATTTCTATATTTCTTATCAGGTTTAACCTATTGTACTTACTGTACGTCTGTCTGTAACTTAAGACATGAAGTTCCCTTAGCCTGACTGAAAATAGCCGTCTCACAATTGCTCTTCTCTGGATGGCCTCAGTGTGACTTTGGTATCATACAGAGAGCAATGTATAATGCACAATCCCAGTCGTGGCATAGGAAGGCTATTGCACTGTTTCAGTACAAACACTAAAGGCTTGAATTTGATGCTCTCTGTCATATATCTAACCTTCCTTTTTTCTTTTCTTATACTGCTTCTACACATTATCTGCATGCTCACAGTGAGTCAACTACAACACCACCTTCTTCTCACTACATTTTCTACATACGGTAGATACTGTATACACCTATCCAACTTTCATATTTAATGTAAAGTATTATTTTTGTGTAAAACTATAATCTAACACATGTGCCTGATATCATCCTTTATGTGATTTAACCTTGGTCTGTTGCAAGTGCTATTGTTCCTTCTGTCCTCACACTGTACCATGAATTGAACTAATGCACTATTTATAACCTGTGTTTGACACATATTAGGAAGGTGAACGCACAGAGCACTGAACTTGGACACTTTATCAGATTCCATTTCTGTATGCATAGAGTGGTTAATAATTACTTTATTACCCTGCAGCTTGTTAGCACAAAAATCACACTTTTGCAGGACAGATATGCTCAGCCTACCTTTTTTGAAAACGTGCACTTCTGTGTTCCCAAAGAGAGACTTTGCCTTTTCATAGTCATTGATAACAACGTCATAATCGCCCTACAGAAGGGGGAAAAAAAACATTAAAACACTGTGGACTAATTCACTTTCAAACGTGCAGAATGTACTGCTAAACATAAATCACCTTTTGTTCTGCTCTACATTGCATGCAAAAATGTTGTTTATTTATTCCTAAAGGATTTTTATGTTTCACAAACCCATATGACATCTGATTTCTTTTTGAAAGTGAGGTTTTAGAGCCAGAAACGAAGTTAAACTGCAATGTAATCAGATACGCAGAGATTTCATTCTGCACGCCATTTAACATTAAATAATACCTTGAGTTCCTTCATTTATGTTATCCCTAATACTTGGCAAAACTAAAAATCAACTTCTAGAAAATAATGTAATGGAAAATGCAAGTGTACAAAACTCATCGTGTTTGTATTTCTTAAAACAAACCGGGATGTCCAATTAGCTACCTTCTGGATGTTTCTTTCAATGTTCAGCGGCAGATTAAAAAGAAACTTAAAACGCTGAAGCACGTTCAGTGCGTTCCTTGTGGAATCTGCTTTGTCTTTACGTCCCAAGACTTCCTGGAAAAGTGTATCTGCTGTAACACTGGCCCCTGCAGAAGGAACAGAAAGCACATTATTCTGTATATACATTACATATATTATACATTTATAGAGAATAAGTAATGCATACATTTTCATAAGCAGCACATTCGTGAACGTATTCCTGTCGACTTCAGTTTTATAATTACAATACATAAACCTAAATATAAGTGTGGTCCGAAAATGTATTTAAAAATGCAGAACTCAGAGAGTAACATCTTTGGAGGGAGCAGTGTGAAATAGTGGGCAGAGGCTCTGAAATCGCAGCTGGAAAGTTGAGGATTCAAAATGCTGACTGAATCACTGCTGTTCTATTCAATGAGCAAAGTCTTTAGTTGGATTCCTCCAGTAAAATAACCAGGTGTACAAGTGTGTGCATTTGTAATCACTTTAGATGCCAGAATCAGCCAGAAATTGCATTATAATCGTTACTATTATTAATAATGCTAGATATAATAGCTCCTCTTAACAGACAATTTTTTGGAACGATCTTCTGATTATTTACATGTTATCCTCGACTTCCAGCACTGTGCTAACATCACCTTCCTGAGGATTCGGGGGTGGGAAAGGAAGTTCATAATCCCATGGTTGAAGTGCTCCCCGGAGTCACAGATTTAGCAGCTCTGATGCCTGGTCTCTCAGCGTCTGTCGTCCAGTCAGAATGCTACATTTACACTTTCTTTCCCCCCCAGGAAATTTTCCCTTGCACAACGGTTTGGATAGACGAACTATCTCGAGCTCGGCACCAGGTTTCCCCTACTTGACCCCTTTCCATTTCTCATTCGGGGTTCGTACCACACTGTCCAGAGGGAAGCCCTCAGTTACGACAGCTTGGGGTTAAAAACCTTTATTGCTCAGAATTACCTCACCTCAGTCCTTGATAAACCAACGGTCAGGACAGGGCTGGCCAGAGCTGGTCAAAGCTGTCGCTTTTGGTGTTGTGAATGCTGCAGCTTGCCTCCTGGTCCACAGGCTATGTTCCAGGCTGTTAAGATGTGATTTTTTTTTGCGGCTGCACATACATGCAAAGATTTCAGACTGAATGTTTAGTGACTTTTTGGGCACCAAACAGTAAGTGGAAATTCCATCTCCAGGGTAAGCCAACATCATTCACGTGGTGATTACTAATGTTCACAGAATAATCACTCACTTAAACGCATCCAGCAGGCCCAGAGTTCTCTTCTCGTAGAATAACATGCAGTGATTGTTTTTGTGAAAGTCAAATACTACAATTACTGTCTTTCACGGGAAGAGAACTTAGTGTTCGTGTGTACTTAACACTAAAACACTCCCGACTCTGTCAGATCTGTCTGTCACACTTCCTAAATTACAAGCTATTTATTTCCAGACCGAGCAGGGTTAAGGGAAGGGAAGAGCAGTTGACAAGAGAGATGTTAGAAGCAATTAGGAAAATTAAACAGGGGTGATAATTTAATACTGAAGTGTTTTAAGATTATGTTTGGTGGCAGGATCAGAAATGTCACTTTTAAAGCACACAGAGGACGCAAAAACAAATACCATTAAAATGCACACCAGGACTTTTGTCTAGATGCCATAGTTTGGAAGCAAAGTCTTTCTTTCACTGGTGCTTCATTTTTTGGCTATTTCAATCTTTATATTTGTAAATACACTGAGAGATCAATTTCCATCTTTCATTTTTTCATGTTTCACACAAAACCTCACTACAGCATTTTTGGAAACGAGACCAAAATTTATCACTGGTCTCTGCACTCATTTTATGTCTGTGAAAAAAACGTCTACATTATCTGGTCTGGTGACTATGCTAAAAGCAAAGATGAAAAAAATTACATCAGTCTCGCTGGGTGGTTTGCGTGCTATTTTCTGTAGCAGGCTCAGTGGGTGGCCTGTTCAATGCACAAACGTAGACTTTGTAAAATTCTTTAATCAAAAAAAGCATTCAGCTTGAATGAAAACATTAACACAGCAAGTTATAAAATATTTTGCATTTTCCCTCCTCATCGCGTTTGACTTATTTTTGGTTATACGTAAATTTTTATATTAATGTTGAATTTAAGGACTCAATAAAGGATTTCCAGCCGCATGCCCATATTTCAAATTTTGTAAACATGAAAGAGCAGTTGGTTCACAAAGTTTATTTTTACAATTTTAAAGGAAAGTACCCGTTTATTGACTTTAAATTACATGAATCAAATTATCATGTAAGGAATGAAAGGATATACATGGAGCCCTCTGGGATTGAACGAAAAGCATTTTGAATTTGGGCTTTGAAAATCAGGCAAAGGAAAGAGATAGTATAACAAAGAAACAGAAAATTAAAGAGATGCGGACTTGTGCTGTTTCTTGTGTTATTGGCAATCAGTTTCGCATGTGTTCAGCATTCTGGCAGGTTTGCTAATCTCAACATAATGTAAGTAGAATCGTTTTCTTACGATTTCTCACACTACACATTCAGAAACATAAATCAAGAATGAAGGTGAATGATAACAATGAACGAAACACCAACGCCAGTGAACTTGAATGGCACAGTGTAGTCAAACAATTAAAGATTTGTGGGATGTGAAATCTGTGGAGTCAATCCCTCACTCCTTTCTTGGACTAAACCCAGCTTTGATCTCCATCAGCACTGCTATGTGGGTCAACGGCACAAAAAATAATATTACACAGGTCTGTGTCAAAGTGAGCAATTAAAACAAAAAAAGAGAGCGTCTGGTCAGGGTAATGATCACAGCAACAGTACAGTACATGACTTGTTTCCTTGTTCACTTGTGCACCTTTCACAGCACATGCAATGACCAGACCATCTGAAAAATGCTAATCACACAGCCTGTCTGATTGCAACAGGCGATCTATGGCGTACAGAGAGATTGTCTGACTACACGGTTAAAATGCAGGCTGCTCCTCATGTTTAAATCGGTAAGCTGATTTTTTTTTTAAACAACCTGTCAATTTCTCTTCCCGAGTTTCTTTAACCCAAACATATTAAAAGAAAGCGTCTGTCTCCCCTTGGTTAAAAAACCTACCCTGCTAACCGAAGCAGCAGGCTGAATGAAAATATCAAGTGATTCAACTGCTGATGTGACTCAGCTGCAGAAATGAGTCAACTTTTTTGGGGGTCTAAATTGATGAATCCTCTCTGAAGGTCAGTCCAGTCACACAACGTTGAAAAAGCTGCCATTTTTATACCCAATTCTGCTTTCTCTACTCAAGACGCTTTTTTTCTTCCACGGGTTTTCTGTCTCTCTTTAAGAAAGAAGAAGAAAAGGGGGAGGCTCACGGTTCAGGACGTTTTCCAGCTTCTGCGTCATGGATCCTTCCACTTTCTCCGTTCCGTCAGCTTCCAGCTTCTGATGAATGGCTGGAAAAAAAAAAAGTGGAGATCGGACATCTGGGACACGTGTGCCGAACTTTAGGGATGTGAGATGTCAGGTGTCAATCAAAAAACAATTTTTTATGCAGAAAAAATAAATCAAATAATCAAATAATTACACTATGGTTACTGAAAATAAGATATGTAAAAACACAGGCATTTCTCTTTTCAATAAGATATTATTACTTCAAGAAGATATTCCAATTTTGAAAATAATCTCCTTTTCTGTTTCGCTAAACACAAACCAAGACATGTTGTACTGTTAACTAATACAGGGGAATCCCCTTAAGCTTAGTCATTTCATATTTTTCCTGTCCACAAAGTTTTTTTTAGTGTTTTCTTAAACTGCATACAGCCAAACATCCACCGTAGTGGTTTTATATTAAAGTACAATACCAAGCATTGTAAAAAAGCAAAGATCTGTTCATGTGTCTTTAATTGAGTTATAATTTACAACATTGAAATTGTAAAGCTTTCCTAACTTTAATACCACTGCAATAAGATGTCCAGAATAATACCAGGACCTCGAGACTGCGGAATTTAAAAGTGGCTAAAAGCGAACAAATCCTAACATGAATTCCAAATAATGTTCTTATACATTTGATCCTTGGCATTTCAAGAGCAGCACAAACTATGGCAGATAAGAGTTATGTACAATATTATTTATTTCACTGTCGTGGGTTTGTGCTTCTAGCTTCGATTCCATTCAGTTATTTTGCAAAAGGCTTTTTTTCACTTCTCCGTTGGATTTCAAGTAGTTAACATATCAGCAGTAGTGAAAACTCAATTTATCTGACCACAGCTCAAATTCTGCATGTCTTTCTGTTGGTTTTGTAACTTGTACAAATTGGTGGCGATTCTAGGACCTAAAAATAAAATCTATGTGTTTATAAACTAGCTACCTGCTCTTAAAGTCCAAATCTCTGAAGTCCTATTCTAAGTAAAGGCATTCCTGTAAACACAACTGCATGATGAGGAGACCAAAAATGTAAGAATAAAAAGTATTTTTGTTTCCTCCGAGGCAACTGCTTGTGTGTAGTTATTTTAAGCCACCTCCTGTTCAAAAATAAAATGTCTCTGCTGCTCAATTTAACTTGCGTAATTCCGGGACCTTTTCAATTTCAGGAACAGAAGATGAAACAATAAACAACCTCCGATTCCTGATGTGAGATAACCTTGTGGCCGATACGTGTACGGATCACTCCTGTGTCGGATCTTCACGAAAAGGATTCCCAGAGAGCTGCAAGTCAGTGTGGTTATGAAAAACAAAGCCTCCTTATTCACTACACCTTAAGAACCTCTCTGTTTTTTTAGACTGAGACTTCTTAAAAGTGTCACCAAGCACCAACTAAAAAACAAGGCATTTTATTCAAACAAATTTCATCCTACTACATAACTTTCTTTTTTTTTACACATCCACATTTTACCTATTATTTTAATACGCTTTAAAATAAAAGTAATACATTTTAATAAGAGTCAATGGCTTTAGGAAATGTTTGCACAAATCATGATTGATTCTTATGCTTAGGGTACCGACTCTTTTCTTTCATTACAATTGTGTATTGTGTAACAATCAGAAGAATTATTTAAACACTATTATGTCAACGCAATACTGTAACGCACAGTATAAGAAATTGCTAGATGCATCAAAGAACTCTCAGAATGGACACATTTACATTTTATTTGGCTTTTTTTTAGGGAGGAGGGTGTTTTCCTGAAATTCCCCAAGCCTGCACTTCTCGTTAGCAGAACTCAACGCGAATGGCGGTGCGTGAGTCGCTGGGACACCTTGGATTCTCCGGCTCCTGCTCCTCGTTTTCCGTATTTTCGCTCCCAAAGTTCCTGGAGTTGTGCGCCGGTTCGTTCGAGAACCAATAAACAGTCTGGCAGCGGCCTCTCTCGAGGTGCGACGCCTCGGAGCTCTGGACCGGCCTGTCGTCGGGCACGAAGAGACCAGACGAAGCGGCCAAGCACGTGCCGGCGCCAAGAGCCGCCAGATCAAAAAACAAATCACTCTCAGGTGCTGTGTTAAATCTGCGCAGTTTATTGAAAGAACGAGGGGGTGGCGCGTCGTTCGGTTAAGTTAAAACAATGCAGCTCCGCTTTGAGACTTTAACCGAGTTGGGCTGGAAGAGAAAAGCACAGATGACACGTCCTGTCAAGCAGCCTATCAGGAAAGCACCGAGTGCAAAGGACTTATCCAAATAAATGCATATTTTTTTCTAGTTACGCCTAAAGCTTAAACTCTAGAGCTGAAAGAATTCTTAAAATGCCATGCATGTGGTCTTACCTTAATAGGCTGTGATATTTAGTTTAAATCTAAGAAACTGAGCAATACTGTTCTCTACTGTGCAGGGTGAAGCCCAGGGGATCTCAGCACTTACAAGCCCAGTACAGCCTGAGGATGGTGTGGCTAAAAAAGACTATCTCTCCTTCCACGCTGGCTTTTTCCACGTACAATTATGTCATTATATTGAGCATGTCTAAATGGCTGCTGACCTGGATGTAGTTATTTTTTTCCTGCTAACAGGGAAATCAATATGATTAGGTATGGGTCCTCAAAGAAAAAAAAAAGAAAACCTTCAACCTGCCCATCACTCACAAACTCCACGCATAAAATGTGATCCAAGTCTTCCACTGGGAAGGGTAGGAGAAGGCTCGGCCCAAGAGATCCAACATCACATGTGGAATTTGGGATTGGCAGGTGAGTCCAAGCTTTGATTTAATCCAGACCACAGCCTCTTTGTCAAATTGCAACACTACCCCTGCTCTGCCAAAGGCGTTGCCAAAAGTAAAAAAAAAAAATTACAGTAATTTGAAGAAAAAGAGCATTACAGAATGATCTTCTGAGGATAAATAATGAATAAGCCAACAACCTGATTTTTTTTAGTTTTTTACAGCTTACAGCATGAGCAAAATATTTTTGTCATTTTCTGTCATTAGCACAAGCATTGTCATTATGAAATAATGACAAAATCCTGTTTTCTTATTAGGCTTCCTCATGATCTTATCATTGTTATAATGTTACATTCAATAATTTATTACAATAGGAGTTTTAAATACAAATGTATTGGTAATTCAAGGAATAAAGGGGTGGTGTTTTAATCTAATGTACATCTAAAGTAAAATGAATTATAATAGATATATATAATTGAAAGCTAAAAATTCCATTCCTGCCCCCAAGTGAACTGGACCACGAATTTATTTAAGCTGTCAAGTCAGGTTCATAGAACAAATCTCAGAACAGCCCAGAAGAGGAATCAAGTTCATCTGCTTGGCACAAAACACACGCTCAGAATTAATAATGGATTTAGGAGACGCCCTAGCAGAGACAGAGCAAAGCAGGCTGTAACAGTTGTACAGGTGAAATCAGTAAATGGCCTTAGGCCCAAAAATCAAGAAACAGATTGAAAGCAAAAAAAAAAAGGTATTTCATCAGAAAGATGTTTTAAGGTACAGCATTTTTTTTTTTGCCTGGGAATGATTTGTGGATTTTGCATTTTCAAATGAATACTGTGAGGCATTCAAGTAAAGTGCAAATGTCTGCTTTTTGTGGTTGGAAGCCTATTCGCAGATGTGTTTATGCTATGAGAAATAATTTGTTAAGGTTTAATAGACTTTCATGACATACTTTTCTAACAATCTACATCGCCTCCTTACTGCTAAACTCGTGCTCACCCACAGCATTCCTTCCTCTCCTCCCCCCCTCCCCTCAAAAAAAGGGCAGTTTTTCCTCCCCTTGCTTAATCACACTGTGTTCCTGTGTGGTAAAATGGGAGCGCACAGTACCCAAGGATAGGATACACAAAGTTTCACCTCTGTCAGACCTACAGCAGGATTATGAGGTCTGGGATCTATCACTTCAGCTGCTTGGTTTCCCTCACCAGAGGCAGCTGTGTATCCTCTTTCTGTCTATAATATAGTACCTCGGCTATGACAGTGTTGTACGTTCCCAAAACATACTGCCAGGCCAAAATTATTTTGTGCATTCTAACCTGAGGATTGATTGGCCCTACTTTTCGTTAAAGGAAAAATGAAGTATCTTAATCTTTGCAGTTGGGAATGTTTTGATCTTGGGTTGTACAATAAATCCTTTTTTTTTTTACTTTTAGAAAAACTGTATAAAACTGGAACCCAGGACACAACGCACGGAGTACCTGGCCCATTGCGTTTGTCAGTGGCAATGTCAGCAGTCATGTGCTGTCAGCTAGAGACGGGCACAGATACCCCATCCAATTCAATCAGCCAGCACCCACAAGGTCAGACATAGGTGAACACGGCTCCTCGTAGGTTCCTGCGCACAAGCCAAATCGCGCTGACGAAGCAAACTTCCTGTTTAACATCTCCGCCACAGCCGAGTCTGTGTCAGACATTCCCAGGGGCTGAGTGGCAGAAAGGAGGGTTACGCTATCTGATAACACCAGCCAAGACGGAATTCAGACCAAATACCTCCCTGTCCTCGACCTTCCTGACCTTCAGCTGACTTTCTAAACCCTCTTTCAACATCCCGTGCCCGAGCTGGGAAACACAAACCATCCACCAGAGCCCAGCTTCCACCCTCACAACTTGCAACACAAACCACAGTTTTCTCTTCAACGTCGTCTGGTCTTTTCAGCGACAGAAGCACCAGCACCAAAATCTCTTATTTCTACAAAAATACAGTTTTGTTTTTTTCTACAGTATGTTCAACAAAACACAGAAATGTGGTACTGGTTTAACTTACCTGACATTATGATTTGGTGGTGCCTTTACTGATCAGAACATTTTTTTATTAAAACATAAATTGAATATATTAGCTTTAGTCATAATCAAGTTGACTGCACTGTGAAAGACGTCATAACATTGAGAGAAAGCACAGAACATTAATCGTCAAAGAAAGTTTTTGTGCGAAAGATGCGTCTCTTTTTTTCATTTCTTTTGCTAGCCGACTGTGTCACAGCACAATTGCCAACATTTCTACTAAAAAAACAGCCACAAGAATCCATCTGGTGAGGCTGGTTTCCAGTGGGTGTCACAGAACCCAGAAATCCAACCACAGACACTGCACTGTGGAGAGTGTACAGACAACCAAAAGTACACAGGGCTTTGAACAAACTGGCATTGCTCAACATACTTTAACTGCTCTTTCATTAAAGGACATACATTCCGATTTTGTCAATAAAAATATAAAACTGTATTTCAGTTGAATCAACTAATTTCTAATATACTCTATATTGTGTGGATACACATATTTACTAGTTCTGAGGTCAGAGCAAATTATTTAATACACCGCTGGCTTTGCAACAGTTCAACAGTTTGATTAACTCAAAATCATAAACAGTCCACAACTCAACATTACTGTGAACACTGCATTGGTTTATCCTAGAAACCTGTCAAGGTTTCTTAATCACTCTAACCAGACAGAGGCAAATGTTATGGTCATGAATGGATATAAATCACAACAGTTTTTAAGGAATTTTTATTATTTGGTCTTGGGGAAAATAAATGGTAGGTAATATCAAAACAGTAATAAAAGGTAATCCTCCTGACTTCAAACAATTATCCAAAACAGAATGAAACAAGATCTCACGGGGAAAAAAAAGACCTATTACTTTTTGGCAGATACAAGCCATCATTGATACCCGAAAAGTAATTCATTGATCTAGTGTGGCAAATACTGACACTCAATGCTCAATGAGGCATCTTTAAGCTTTAGTGAACAGCTGCTCAGCAATTTAAAATGCAGAGTGTCTGAATGTGCAGCGAGGCCGATAAACACTTATACAGTATAAAAATGAAAATGAAGAAGTACAGGCTAAGCGTTTGGATGTTGTTCATTTTCAATGCTTCTCCAGTTGCTAAGCAAACAGAAATGCTTTGCGCCAGATTTCACAGGGGGATTGCAACAGTTTAAAGAGGCTTCGCTTTGAACATACCATGAGAACAAAGACCAGAGTTATTATACTGCAGAAGGAGAGGCAAATTAAGCCTTATTAGATGTAACCCTGTCTTTTATTTCTGTTGGAGAAGGTGTTTCAAATGTCGTGCATCAGGAGTCTTGTGGCGGGAGGTTTCAGCACACGCTAAAGAGTTTGCAGCTGAGCAGGGAAGCAAAGACTAGATCCTTCGTTGCCACGATCCAAGCAGAGTGTTTATCTTGGCTCGGTCAGGCTGCTCATGGCTTCCAAAAATTTCATTTCCCAGTCCTGCAGTGGCTGAATATGTGGATGACTGGCTTTTAAAGAGCTAATGGGGCCACAACGGACCAAAATAAAATTATTTATAGGCATCAAAAACCAAATTGGATTTTTTTCATTTAAAAAAATCCTTCATTTTAACTCGAAACGTCAGGAGCCGAACATGACAGTTGTGTCATATGATTTATTCACGACTTCTCAAATAAATTATTAAGTTCAGTAGTTATTTTTTATTCTGACGGAAACAGGATGTTAAAGCTGATCTCACAAATGCACGCCTGACAGAAACGGAACAGAAATATTTCTAGCGTGGACCTGAGCTTGACACGTCAAGTTTATCATCTGTCTCACTGGTGACCTGGAATTTATCCATTTCTTCCCCTTGCGCTGGTATGAGACAAAACCACCATTAATAATGATCTCTCACAGCGTATAACCCCAATTCAAATTGTGGCACGTCCACACATTTAATCGCTAACAGAAAATTGTTTTGTATCACATTCACCCTTTTTACGACACCCAGCCTTGGTGTCAAAGTCAACACTCTGGTCTTTCAAGAAATGGCTTCCTCCCATTTCTAATCTTTCTTATGTTCTTAGTCCAGTATAAGCACTAAGCTTGGAGACCATTAGTTACTGTGGTTTTTCAGCTGAATGCTCATTTGTTTTTAAGTTGTTCTCTGTATTTCAAAGGTCAAAAGAAGCGAGCCCATAGCTCTACTGGGATACAACACATTTCCTGCTTAGCTTTTACTGGGTAACCAGGAAACACTTCCTCAGAAGCCAATTCTTTAATCCCCCAAGACAATAAGAAACCCTTTAACTGCAAAACACTACTGTCTTTGACAACTATGAAAAAATACCTTTAGTGACAACAGTTGGAATTAATCAGTCACTAGGTGAGATATCATATCTGCTGAGTTATCAGATTCACAGATTTTGAGACATGTTATTATTATCAATTATTATGGGGTAGGTAAAAAAAACATCACCACAAACTCTGTTTTCCCTTTCTCCTCTTGCTATTTTTTTCCAACCTTTCAAGATTCTTAGAAATCTTGCCTTTATGGTGTTGTTTTGTTTGGCAAACATAGATGTACTGAGAGGAGCCAAAAATTTTTTGAAAGGTATTCAAAACAGGGGGCTCCTCAATTCGGAACGATATTTCAGCAAAATGAGATTAAAAAACCCACAGTGCACTTTATAAATATTACAAAGTAACAAAGAAAATTAAATATATATACCGCTTTAAAAGAAATATTTAACTTAAGTCTTCCTGTTTAAAGCTCTGTTGGTATCAAATGAATTGCCAGAATATTTAATTATGATCAAATTAAATACCTGCCTTTAAACTGTGCCTGAATTAAACAAGCCAGTACAGTACCTTGGATTGACAATATGACATACAGAACATTATTGATTGAGATACACATATAAGAGTAAAGTTCATTTTACTAATTAAAATAATTGAAACACCCGAGCACCAGAATGGTATGTTTTCAAGATATACACTTAAACTTATCTCAACTCAAACTTAACTCAAAGGTTAAGTTAAAAAGTTATCAAAGATAATATGACGATAGCTTATAATACTGGCTCAGTAAAACATTTATGCAATCTCATGCCTTAAATAATGTGGAAGAGAAAGAAAGTGAAAGAAGATATATCTAAGAACTACAAAATGACAGAGTAAATAAAAATGGTATTACTGTTTATTAACTATTCTGGCATACTCTAGGATATTTTGTCAGTCTTTTACAATACTGATTTTCCAATGGTCCAAAAATCTTTGACATTTTTGAGAAACCAATTAGAAAAAAAAATTAATTCCAAATCCTGGCGTCACAAGTTGGCATGTATTCGTTATGACATTCTGATGCGGTTTACATGTCGTTGCCTATGACACGGATGTTTGTCTGGAAAACAAGGAACATAGAAAGCTGGTCTTTCCATGCGACCTGGATGTCAGATTGGAGGTTGTTTAGACTGCAGATACCTTTGGTCCCATAATTACATTGTTTTCCCCAATTTCTCTGGCAGATGGGACAGTTGTATTTTTCAACTCACAACAACATCTGCACAATTTAGGTACTGATATCAAATAATAGGAATCATAATAGCAACTTGTTGGCATTTTTAAAGTACATATTTACACATTTAATAGTGCAGGCAACCAATCTGCAAAGGAAGGACATGCAGTAACAGCTAAATTACCCAAGAATATAAGGACAGCTAGTCTTTGCAAATGGACACATCACTACAGGACCAACAGAGAGGGGAGTTCAAGCTTGTGTGAGTAGAGTTTTGTGTTTATGCAAGCACAATATAAATGAAAAGCTGTGAAGTCTTTGTAGGGCAACATACAGTACAATTTAAAGGCTTTTAATTTACATTAACTGAAAAACAAAAACAGTTATCATGTAGATCAAAACTGTAGCTGGGTAAGACCTTACTAGTTTAAATCATGACAAGGGAATCAAACTTTCCTAAATACAGTACCACAGTAACATTCTCTTTAATCAGCCCAACTAAAAGTTTAAATATGTAAATAAAAAGCCTTTCGACATGAAAATAGCTTGGCCTAAAAAGGTTTCTTTCCTTCAGAGAGATGCTTTGTGAGAGGAATAATGTCGCTAATTAGAACAGTATTTCCAATAACTGTTTTTCTTGACCTTATTACCGCAGCTAAAATAAACACGAAACAATGTACAGCACAGTCTTGCCTCTCGTTGCCACCCTAGCTAAAAGGGTTTGCTTGTACTTCATCGCTGTAGGTAACTTGCAGAATGACAACAGACTAATGGATGAACCTTTTAAAAAGCAAGGACTCGGCAATACGTCTTCATTTTCTAGTGTTACAGAAATAATTAAAACAAAAAGCTTTCCTAAACAGAACAATGTTACAGCTCTCCATATGTTTCAGTTACAGAATACACTAGCATAGGATAAATGAGAGAAAAGCAATGCTATTCCACTCTTTCCTTCGATATTTTATCTGTTACTGTGCAGAAAAATATCCACACATTTTTTGTTGTATAACAGGGGATGTGAAGCACATGAAACTGAAATGTCTGTTTTAGAAAGCATTCACATTTTCTAGGTAGGCTGGCGAATGCTTTAGAGAATTTCACTGCCGAGCTAGAGGTTTGTAAATTGGGTTCCTACTTCCTACTTTTTGTTTTGCACAATGAAATACAACCTTCCCTAACTTTTATTTATGCCACTTTCACTGTGCTGTTGCATTGTCAGATCCTGTATTACATTTGCAGAGGTTAAAGTCCGAGACTTGTATCTAGAAGGTTGCGGGTTGAAATCCGTGGTGAGACACCGCTGTTGTGCCTCTTGAGCAAGGCACTTCATCTGAACTGTTGCAATACAATGCCCAGCTGTATGAAGAGGTCCAACTGAAGGCGGTTTGGACAAAAAAAGTCAGACTTGCTTAATAAACTAGTAATTGAGTAGCGATTAAACTAAGCCCTTCTATAACAGCTTCTCGCTCAAAATATGAGACCAGTGCTAACAGCAAAGCAGAAAGTTGCAAGGATTCAGATCCCGCATTTACCTGCTAAGGCATCCTGCGCCTCGAAGAAGGTGCTGAGGCCACCCTTCACATACGCCAGGCTGCCTTCGTTTTTCTTGTTGGACTGCTTCCGCAGGTTCGTAGCTGCAACCCGGAGCTGATCGAAGCTGAAAGAGGGCAACAGCATTAGAATCCTTCTACTGACTAAGGGCCCCAAAAGGCACGGAGCTGAAAGGCTTTCATACTTAACAGGAAAGCGCCCATTTGACAGGCTGGATATCTGCAGTTATTTATCAAACCTCATCACATATATTTACCAGACCTCATCACCTGCATATTTAACTGCCCTTGTTTTGATTACTGCAATGTTTTTCTTTAGACAATAAAAAATAAAACTGTCTATATAAGTTAAAATAATACTGAAAATTATGTCAATACAAGAGAACTACAAAAGCTAATGTCAGTGTCTCCTGTTTGCCTTTGTATGTCTTAAATGATAAAAAAATCAGTCTTGGATTCTCCCTTCAAACCTTCAACATTGCAGAAGCAGACTACCACTGGCTACCATTCAGTTTCAAAGCTCATTCCCTTCTGTAATCTTTCTGATTACACTTGAAAACACAACGAATATCCAGTACACTGTTTTGTATTTTGTTTTGTTTATATCTCGAGACACCTTAAACAGATCATTCAAAATGTTTTCGCATTTCACAAATTTTCCCAACATTTAAAAAATGAGCTCATTCCCTTCTGTAATCTTTCTGATTACACTTGAAAACACAACGAATATCCAGTACACTGTTTTGTATTTTGTTTTGTTTATATCTCGAGACACCTTAAACAGATCATTCAAAATGTTTTCGCATTTCACAAGTTTTCCCAACATTTAAAAATGATCAGAACTTTAAAAATTAAAACTGTGGGCTTATACTGTCATAAAGTTTATCCGACTGTAAAATAGATAAAAGCACTTCATAAAAACTGTGCCTCCTATTTTCATAAACAGTAGTACGTAGTATTTCTCTCCCATTATAAAAACCAGAGAATACATCAAACGATTGTTTAGCTCAATGGTATTTTTTTAAAAAAAAAACAAGCTTTCATTCACCTTCTGTCAACTGCCAATACAATATTTTTGTTTTATAGCCAGTCAGGCAATTAATGTGATTGCAGTTTCCTGTTACCTGGTGGATGGGCCTGAAGCCCTCCTTATTTATTTAGACTTGTCATGACGTTCTGTCAGGAAAGCAATTTTCGACCCAAATCAGAGTTTCCTCCAAGGAAAAAACACACATATGTTAAGCAAAACACTGGAGTTCCCAATATTCAGGGTTCCTGTTATCTGGGTTAAATAAAGTGTATGGAAGTGTAAGAAGGGCACTACCTTCAAAACAGAAGAGGGTAGCATAATGTGACAGAGTTCAGTGATGTTAAGTACAGCTTGTTCAAGTCTGTTTTTTTTCATTCTGTGAAACTTCGGGAGTGTGATTTATTTCGGCAGCGAGGCAAGGACTTCTGACAAAAACGGCAGAGTACCGCCTTCAGTACTGTGGGGTTCATACAAAGCGAACTATGTGCCTTAAAAACACGGCCATTTATTGCTTGCGTAGGCCCTGAAAGAAGCCAATCAAACCTTATAAAATGGGAAGGAAAATCTGTGCAGTTTTTAAAAAGATCGAGCTAAGGTAGTTCACTGCAGCAGGAAAAAAAAGGGGGTCAGTGTCTTGGCTGCCAGGTTATGCAGTAAGGAATACAGTTAGTTTCCCCTAATCACAATCATTCATTGGAAGTGCATGTTGATTTATTATAAAAGTACCTTCCCCGTATAATACATGCTGGGTTTGAATAAGACTTGAATGAGACTTCTATTCACATCAGACTTTAAGAAGTAGGTTGTTTGTTCTGAATGGAAAAGAGAGAATAGTAAACCCCACCAAACTACTATCAAAGTGTTCTATGCTCTAAAAAATCTTTTACAGAAGTCACCTTACACATGAATTAGCTTGCTTGTCTTGTATGACTGCACTGAGATATAGGAGGTGATGCCAGGAGACGAGCAAAGTGAATAACAGATACCAGATTGTGGTTAAATGGTTATAAAAACTACAGAAATGGGTTTTATAGTGGCCGCAAATCGCGTGGCATGTATCGGGAATGGTGCTGACCTGACTTTGTCACCCTCTATCACAATTAGCACCATGAAAATGAGATGCTGGGACTTTACCTTGTGCTTGGTTGGGTATAAACCCTCCAAAAATGTGCACCTCCTCTTACTCTTAATGTGCAAACTACTGTAAAACCAAGTAACCCAGATCTATATGAAAACACAGTCACAGACCTGTCATGCACTGCAGAAGAGCAGTGGTTGTACATTAGGAGCTTTTTTTTACTATTTTCCAATGACTACGTTGATTATGTTCAGATCCATCACTCCATCACTTTCTGCCTGAACTATAAAACATGATTTCCATATCATACTGAACATACCAAGGACAATGCATCAGCAAATGATTTCTCTGCATTTGCCTGGTGAAATGAAGTGTTATAAACTGACCTCTTACAAAACATTTAAAATAGAAAAGTGAGGGGTTTATATTTTTACATTGTACGTGAGTAGTGGCTATAATTAAATCTTAAATTGAATTTGCAGTTTGGTTTTGCAGTAAACCACCCATGCACATGAACCTGCTGAACAAATAACAGAAATACATTATCCTGAGCACAATTTATTTAGTTTTAGTTAGTAAACAGCAGTGGCTAGCTGGATCTGTAGAAGAGAAGCAGGCAACTTTAGTTCTTGCTCTCCTAAAAAATTATATTTTTATTTTAATTCCCTCAGATGCCTATTATTGAAACGCTGTGTGGAAAAAATCATTGTTGCTGAAGAAGAGAAACTCTAAAACGTGTGGGGTTGTGTGCAAGCGCTCACAGACTATGCGAATATACTGGATAATAACTTCCTCATTGCACTCGCTCTGACTCACTCTTCCTAGCTGGGCTGGGTCAGTTCTGTATACCTCACTGCTATGCAGCACGACAGTGGCGATGGGGCAGTTCAACAGCGATTGCCGTGAAGCAAAACAACTGAGCTGTGAAATCTTCATTGTTTTGACACTACAAACTGTTATATGTTGGAGGGATTTGAAGATCGAACTAAACTAAAGTTAAACCTAACCAGTGCCAGTGACATGAAGGCAGTGTACAGAACAGACCTTTGTTTTCCCCCTCATGAACAGCAAACAACACTGCTGCCCTTTGAAGATCCTGCTGGCCGTTGCCGACGTTGTCTTTGCAGGGATTGTTGGGACAGATGGGCCGAATGCTTCCTCTGTTTTGAAAGCCTCTATCTATGTTCTTCTGTAAGATGGTGCAGCCCTGTTCTAGTCAGTAAGGGGGTGTCACCCAAACATCACCCCCCTTTCCATAAAAGGTACTTGACAAATAAGTGTAAGGTCAGGAACCAAACACTACGCCTGGGTTTTATCCCACATTCTAAATATCTGTTTTCCAAATATGACTATAAGATGAATCTCCATTATTAAAAACATAAAACTCACCTTGTGAGAGAATGGTTTTCTATAAGATACCAGGTGGCAGAAAAATTTTCACTGGTGAAATCGCCACTCATTCCAGGAAAAAGGCTTTCCAAATCCTTCTGCGGGACTTTTCCCCTGAAAAAATACAAAATGGTCACTATTTTCAAAGCAATATTAACTTACTGTATCATTGTATTTACCGACTTATGCCAGATATTTTTGTTATATTTAAACCTGCTTCATTAATTTTAAATTAATTTAATTTGCATTCAAATTAAATTAATTTGAAAATGTAGGTGTCCTCTTAAGCATTGCTATTTCTGTCACGAACTTACAAATTTCCCCAAAAAATAAACTTAAAAATATGGCATTTCATTGTTGTCTTCAAATTACCTAGCAGAAAACACAAATAAATTAAATTGTCTGTGTTTTGGCAATAAAACGATCAGAAAATAACACCAGAGTTAAAGAAAAGATTATTTTAAAACCTTGAAAGCCTACTCTCAACAAGAAGATAAATGGCTTTCAAGCACTACTTATTAAGAGCTATTTTTCAGTTTTGCATAAACTACATGCCCCTGGAGAGTCTTTATGGGAAGAGAGCAATGCATCTGACCTCTAACAATCACTCTGACCTCTACTGCCCAGTGATTCCTCACTGTCTCTGAAGATGTGCTATAGACCTGGGCTGTGATTCACTCTTACAGCGCACATGCAAGCGTGCAGATGCTTATAAAATTTAACACTGTCTTTTCTTTTTTCACTTAAACTAGAGCTGTCAGCAAAAGCCATTGCTTTCTTGCAGGAAACCTTGCAGAATTCAGTCCACTGACAGAAAGTGTCAGTGCTGTGTCATATGTTGTATAAACACACAATAAGAATGTGCTTTGGTTGGTAATAATAACTTTTACTTTTGCTTAAGCAAAAACAATGTATATTTGTCACCAAGAAGATGCCTCCCAATATAAAACAGGCAATTTTAACCCTTAATGTGTTTACGAGATTTCGGGAGGCAAACATCTGGGCTGTCTGCTTTTCCTCTCTCTTGACAGGTTAATGAAGAAGTGCATTTAAGACCAAATGCAGGAGGCATTTCTTCACCCAAAGAGCTGGGGGACTACAGAACAAGCTACCCAGCCATGTGGTTGAAGCCGACTGACTTCTTTCGAGAAGTAGCTGGAGAAGATCATTGATCGATTAACTACTAATAATTACCAAACAGGTGGATTTGCATTCGTTTTTTTTTTCACAAAAACAACATACAATCGCACGGAATCTTTCTTATGTGCTTATGACTTTGTGGTGTGGGTATTGAGGATTGATGTGATATTCTGGTTTATAATACATCATTATACATCCAATATTTGAGTTCGATGCTGAAAAGAGCTACAAGACGCTGCTGCTCAACACTTTTTAATGACAATCTTTTCAGATTCCACAGCACACCTGAGGTTTTTCCCTGGCGTTCTGTTTGGGAAGTACTGTCTTAACACACCCTTCAAAAACAGCCTTACTAGTTGAGCCACTCAACACCCATCACTGAACACTGCAAAAAACATGCAATGATGACTTAAGACCGCTTACCAGCATTTCAGTGAACAAATTACAACACAGGGATATGACTAGAATATGTTTGAGTAATTGTTTCTGCAAACAGCTAAGAACAAAATAGTTTTTTTTCTTAACCAGTCTGCCCAGACTTGTAAAATGTAATAAAGCAGATAAACTGCTGTCCAGCATCACAGGGCTCAAGGAGAAGACTGAACCTAGTGGAAATCCTGGATGAAAATAGTGAATGTGTCTGGCATAAGTCAGATGTACTAAACAAAAACTGCTAAGCCAAGTAGTTAATTGCTAAAATGGAACGAGATTATTCAAGGCATAAATATTTTAAAAAATTTTATGAAAAAATCCCCAGTGCAGAACTAAAGCCTAAGATGTTGTTTCACAGACATCAAGACCGATCTAGTACTGTGATTAAATCACTGTTGCAGATTTGAAAAAAAGGCAAAAATCAGAATGCTACTTTTAGGCCAGATTAAATCAAACACTTCGATGCACCAATGAATCACATATTACAAACTGTATTATGTCATATAGCGGGACTGTAATTTGCAGATGGCATGTGGGACAAAGTTTTAGTTTAATCCTGGTGTTTGCCTTAGTGTTTCCCTATTTACTCAATTTTAAAAAATCAATTCTCTAAAGACTGTGTAAATAATATACCAGTTCATGAGAACAGTGTGATAGCTACGTCTCCAGTACTGTCTTTTCTGTGAGTAACATTTGCATTTGAAGAAAGATAGAACAGGAAGATGCCAGGAGACCATCTCATCTACAGCCAAAACAGGAGACCAGGGGAGTTTTTACAAAAGTGCTGTTAACACAGACTTTTTGTGTTTTACAGCATAAACATTTTTCTCCTTTAAAACAGGAAAACATATTGAACTGGTCATGCAGTCCTCCATTTCTACAACACAAGCTGCTGGTCAGTTTTTCACTTCCTTCTACACCAGATGCAACCCTATTTGGTTTCAGCAGGAACACACTATCCCAGCTTTACTTCCACGGAAGACCACACTTATTCAATTGGAGTAATTATTCACTTTAATGGAAAAACTTAACATTTATATCCGGGCCTGATGTGTTCTAGCTACTGCAGCACAAATTAAGTGCTTCTTTCAAATCATCGGCTGTAAAAATGCCTAGAAACATATTACATATGAGCAGATGAGCGAGTAATTACACCAATTAACTGTGAATTTATACTTGAACAAAACAGGATTATGCACACAGCGCAGCAAGAACAGAGCTAGACATTCATGTCTACACACTTCATTGTTCGTTTTAATGAGAAAGTTATGTTTGTTCTTTATTTTAACCTATGAAATTTTCTGAGTGTAGGATAAAGAATGCCAAGATATTTGCACTGAATGCCAAGATCTGAAATGAAAAAGCAGTGTGATGTCATTGCAGCTGGTTAATGATTGCTAAGAGTGATCCGAGACTAAATTGAGTGCGGAGAGCAATTTTAAAGAATCAAAACCATTTAGTTATTGCCATTTATTTACTATGCACGTCAAACAGTTTGTTGGCCTGTGCCAAACCTGTATAAACTTCACAGTGTAAAAAATCAAGATAAAAACAAAAACATTTGGGATGTTCCATGTCTTTGTTATGTGTATCAGTGAAGGTAAAATCTGAAAACAATTTATTTAGTACGGGAAGAAAAAAAACTTTTGAAAATGTGGACCAATACCACGAGAGTAAACTCTGGTTCTAGGGCGGATGCTGTCCTGTTAAGCCAGTGAAGTAACAGAGGATTTCCAAAAAACACTTTGAAAACTTGCATCATTTCGGTATGAAGGCATCACCATGCAATATAAAACCTACCAGAAGAGGGCAGTGCAAGACAAGCTTGTTGCCCTGGCTTCTGCAGCAGTCTGCGTGGGAAGAATTCACCAGTGTGACGGAAGGGTGGCTGCAGACTGCACATTAGAAGCCACCCTGCACTGTTTTTACACGCAGGGTTTAATTTTTTATATACTCAAGCAGTTTTATCCTCGCTAATGACCCGTATGCTTTCTAACCTGGTCCCCAGACTGTCTTCTATCATTTTACTGCCCATCGCAGCGATTCGTGTATTTAGCTTTTCAGACTAAAAACGCGGTATGATTTAATAATTGTCATCACTAGTAGACGAATTTCCCTTACTGAAAGATACATGAAAGCTTGATTTTAGCAATGGTCAACGACGGTATTCACCTCAGAAAGACACTGCACACGTTCTCCCTCATCTATCATCGCTGAAGACAGTCGAGGTTACGGTACTCACGGCAAGTTAACTTTAAAATAATAATAAAGTGCAGGGGATTTGACTTCTTGAATTCCTTTAAAATACGAAGAGTAAAAGGCAGTTTCCTAAGCTGAGACTCTCTAGTGAGCTTCAAGATACCAATTATTCCAGTCTTCAACAGAGCACCTACACTAAGGAGTAAAAACAGTTGTTGTTTTTCCTGGAAAGGGTTCAGTATACTACAACAGTACATTTACAGTACAGATTAGACTTTTGTTAACTAATTAATTACTTAAACGTCTGGCATTTATAAGGGAGAAGTTCAGGTAAGGTACTGCTGTTGCGTACATTATTAAAATGTACAGTATCAATATGGTAGTAAACTTAATAATTAGATAAATGTTTGCTTTGTCAGAGCTATTAGAGTTAATAACAGGACACTTATGTGAGATTTGATAGTTTATTCTGAACATTTATTGATAGAAGTTTGCATTATAAGTAATTTGAAAAACTACAAAGAATGGGAAACTTTCTGTGAGCAATACCACATTTTAATTATAACATTCAACAAGAATTTGTTCAGTATTTCTTTATGTATTTTATACTAAATCAATTTACAAATAAAAATCAATTTCAAATAATGTATTTACTTAAAACCTTGTTTGCCGACAAGTCAGCCTGCTATCAAAAAGCACACAAAAAAATTATTTACTATTTAGTAAACAAGATAATTAAAATCACATAAGAGTGAAAAAAATCTAACGTTTGTAATTACTGCATATGCTATGCACTAAATATCATTTTTAAAGATTTAAATATTTTAAATTATACAGTAAGTTATATCCCTTTCACGACAATCTGAAATGGACCTGCTATTTTAACATTACAGTTTAATAGCTGTCACAAAAATAATTTTATGATACCTTATAGTAGGAATAGACAAAGTAAATATTTTGAATCCAGATGTTTTAATTACTATTAACCAATTTTAGAAAAAAATACTTGCTGCTTATATGAGATCTCTACAAGCTATTAGCAGATCATTTGGAGATACAGGAAAGACAGAAAAAATGCTAGACTACCCCTCTCTGATGTTACACAGAAGTTATGCTTTTCTTTGTCAGGTTGTTTAGATCCCAGATTTCGCCCACATAAATTTATGTTATACTCTAAAGTTACTGAACACAACCGAATCTGTTTCTTCCCAAGAAAAGGCAATCCAGTAACAGAAACATCCAGCTTATTTTACACTTTAAGTAAAGTATAATGCAGAATTGTTCACTCTCACATTAACAATAAGTTTGGAATATGGTACAAAAGTGCAGTATTTATTTTGAAAGGAAATGCTTGTGTGAAATGTATTTTTAGCATTTAGGAGTTTCAAGATGATTTTTTTGCACTCATAAAGGGGAAGAAAGCTAAATTCATTTTTAAAGGGTTATACGCCTTAAGTTGTTTAAAAGTCTTTATCTTTTCCCTATATCAAAATATAAGCTTTAAAGTGGAGAGAAAATAATCTAAATCTTTTTAGACACCAAAAAGATCTTTAGTCACTTATATTTTAGTCATATGTTATCTCACATAACATCATCTCTCATGCACTTGAATTAAAGATCGAGACTCCCAAGTATTGCAGAACTCAATTTAGAAATCCTAAAGCAGCCTTTGTGTCCATTTCTTACAGATGAACACAGAACACTGAGAAGTACTAATGTTACAGGAAAAATCCTGAATATTTTAAGATATAAACTCTGATTTTCAATTCCCTTTCTGAAAGACACAAATTATCTCACTCATTGAAACGATCTGAGAATGTTACAAACATCCCAGAAGGGCTTAAAAGTACATATGCTAACAACTGGTTGTTATTGACCATTTTATTTATAAAATGTATATCAAATTTAGGTGTTCTTTGCAGATTTATGAGAGCTGGGCGGAAATCCACTTCTTTTTACCATATTCTGTGTCAACAGTACAGAAAATTTCCATAAACATCTATGTTGTAATTACGGCTGCTGACTCATCTAATTCTGTGGGTGCTTCGACAGCTTCAGTTAGGCAATTCATCACACAAGAGATGCTGAGGATCCTATTACAAGCACTTTCTCTGGCTTAGTCACTCTATCTCCTGAATCAGTTTCAACTAATTAGTTTCAAAAGCCTGATTAGGCAACCATACACACAGATACATGGGGTGTTTAACACTTCTCATTAACTTCTGATAAAAGTGTTTCCAACGGTGCCTATTTCCTATTAACAGTCTCAAGATTCATTGGCTGGGAACTACAGAGAAAAAAAAAACAACCTTTTTGAGTTAAAACTTCATGTTTAGACTTTGGTACCTGATGATGATCCTTTGGGATTAAATGGCTTCTACCTATCCTACTTGCTTACTCGATTTATAACCTATGTGCTCCTAAATTAGATTTCCCCTGCTTTGCCTGTACGTTAACTGGATAACTAACTAAGCTAACTAAGCTATTAGCACCATTTTTTGCAGGAGATTTAGTTTTACAGCGATTTGTTCCATAAAAACATCATGAATTTCTAGGATCATTTTTTTCCATTTTCACATTTTGTCTTTGCCGTGCCTACGTTTAGTCTCTTGAAATGTAAAAGGTATGCTAAAGACTATAAGGTCATGTTCTTCTACACTACTACTACTGATTACTACAGCTGACTATCCTACTACTACACTAGATCACTACACCTTAACTGCACTGATTAATGAAGGTACCAGTTCATGCTCACAAATCTGTCTCCTTGTTCATATCCAATACATATCTCCCCAGACGGTTTGGGGAATCAAAACAGTCTTGCTGTTGGAAACGTTACATGTTGAACTTCAATGATCAAAACAACCTTTTGCAAATTATTTCCCTTTTCCAGGAAATGGAAATCTCACGGACACTGCAATTTAACAGAGTCATAGCTCATATTTCTCATTACTGTTCGATGGACTGCCTAGCAACGTAGCAGACATTTTATCCTTGTTAAAGAAGATACTTCAATTCACACACTGAAGTCTGCTCTCACAAAGCAAGGCTCTTTGATGTCAGCTCAAAGTGCCGAGTTCTGTTTTGTGTATTATTCTGTTGTAGTGACAAGCTCTACAAAAGGGCTGCAGATTAGAGTTAAAATAATGTATTAATGTAGTTCAGGTGGGGAGCTGTGTCAGCATGCGTAGGCTGCAAAGGAACAAGTAATAGGTTCATTCTATGCTGAAAAGAGAAGAAAGAAAACGCAACGTTTCGGCCGTGGAGCCTTCTTCAGGTGTGAACATTAATATATTAATGTTATAGATATGGACTGCCAGTGTCAGAATATTGTAAGATTTAAAACTCTGAGCTTGCCTGTCAACTATGCAGAGCCTGAATATGACAAACCATGTCCCAAAGATCACAAAAATAAAATGTAACTAATCACAAAAAGCATATGAAGTAATCAAGGCATGCAATTAATGGAGTCTGCAATCTGGTTTCTAACAAGAGCAGTCCCTACCAAGCTTTGCAATGCATTTTACTAATAATTTACAGCTCCCAATCCGCTCAGTTATTCGTGTGTTTAGTACAGATGATTCACACATCAACACGTGTTTGTGTGCGACTCATGACTACGGAAGAAGCACCAGAACCCTTGAAAAGGGGGAAAGAAAATTTCTCTAGCGCTGTAAATCTGTAACACTGACACATTTCAGAAGACAATGTAATTTACTTGTGTTTACATAGCTAACTGACAGACAAGGCAGTGTGCGCAGAAAAAATGAACCCAATTAATCCTTTGCACATGGGCTTCCTGATCGGCAGTTTCCTTCTCAGGCCGCCTGCGCTAAGAGGGAACCTGGAACAGTGCATCCAGCTCCCTGCCATCCTTTCATTATGTCTCTCTTCTCTAGCTCTTAATTTGCCTTAATCCAAGCCTGCTGGAAACAATCAAGCCCTGGAATGCTGCTGCTCGAGCTCCAGATTCGCTGTGGTTTACCTACTTGTCAATGTCAATTCCGAGGGGGTTGGCTGGCCGCAGGGACAGTGGAGAAATCCCTTTGCTTCGGTCGGTGCGCATGTCGTAGTAATTCATTTCCTCAACCCATACGGCAGACTGGTCCAGGATCCCTGCAAGGCGAAGAGCAGAACTTCGGACATTGCTGTGACGCAGCGAGGGATGTGTCTGCACTGCACAAGCTGGACAAAGCAGCTCGGACCCTTGATCCAACCCAGCCCGAAGGAGGAACAGATAAGGACTGATCTTGTGAATAGCAAATAAATGAATGAAGAATTTTTTTTTTACCAGAATAAAGAAACCTGACCTCCATTTTTTTGTTATTGTAAATTCCGAATCAAATATTATTGTTTTACCTCATGTGTATCCGTTCCAAATTTGTAACATGAATCACCACTATAATCCCAGATTGGCCTGGGAGAACTAAAGGCATATAAATGTATTCATCAACACTTATGCTTGCCAAACCCTTTGCCTTTCTTTCCCCCTCAGTGCAAAGGAAACAAAGGAATTCATCTTTCAGCTGGAGGACAGATGCAGCGTCCAGTGAACACTGGAGGATCCCAGCGAGCCTTGGGACCTGCAGCGCAAACCGATCTCCTCAGCGGCTCCCTGCCACCCAGTATCAGCACAGATCTTGGCAGATGTACGTCGATGCCACGTTCAGCAAGTGGCTCAGCCTGTTCTCCAGACAGAGGCCTTCACTAAATCAGATCCTTAAACACCCCAATCCTGTTCATCCTAGCAGTAGAAAAAGAACGTTTTTTTCCCACCAGAGGCATACAATCAGACTTTTTTTCTCATTGTTTTTTCACAACTTTATCATCTGAAAAATATAAAGTTGACGGGAATAATTGTGCAACGGAGGGGCTGCTTCAATAGCGCCACGTTTTCAAGAACACCAGTATTGTATTATCTGGTTGCTTCCCACAGTTCTACAGCAGGCAGACGGAAGGGATGAACACAAAACAAGAAACGAGGTTTACTGGAACAGTACGTGGGATCAGAGGATAAGAATGGCTGGACCCATCAGCATTACCTATTTTCTCGGGCTTGAGGAGCTTGAAGGACACAGTAGAGGTTCCTCTGCCCCCTGACTTGGTGGTCACAATGATCTCTCCCTTGTCATCCTTAGCGGGTCCCACTCGGCAGACTATCTTACTGGCCGACATCCATTCCGCAGTCAACAGACAGTTATGGCCACAGATAGAAAGACCTATAAGAAAGCAAAAAGCAACTTTTATGCTATAAATCATTTCTAAAATATTAAACAAGATAGAAAAAAAATTCACATTGCACACAACAGCAGGATAAGGATGACATGTCTTCTTCCTTGAAAGGATCTCTAATTAGCAGAATTATATCATCACGACTTCAGAAGTGTAACAGATGAAATATTTTTTTGCTGCCCAAAAAAGCAATATGTTAAAAACGGGTTTCAAAATTATTTTCTGTTTCTGCCTCAGGAAAATTATGTAGTATGGTACCAGCAGGTTTGCCCCTGAAAGTTACACTTTCTTTTGAAAAGCTGAACTTATTCAGCGTGAATATTAGCGTATTACCAAAGTAATACAATTGGTAGATCAGCCAACAGTCCATGCCAAACCCATTTTTAAAATAATGTTTTTATGGCTTTAAATACACCTTCAGTTACAAGTGCAACAATCTTTTCAATAAGCAAGTTATGTGTCGGAGTTAAAGGAGATTAGGGAACTCTCTCTGAGTAATCAGCAGAAAGATTTTTCATTAATACTTCATGGGCTACAAAAACAGCCCTCTCTAAATAAAACATGGACCTGTGTGAATGGATAGCCCTGTGTGACCCTTCTCCATGGAGTTTTAATGATTCAAGACCAGGGGGTTTTATAAACAGTCATTTAGTATAAATCTGGGAGAAAATTTCTTTGCAAGAAGTCTCTTGAAATTCCCCTGACTGTATATATTAGTAGGTGGTTTGGCAGTGGTGTAACATATGCAACACATAGTGCACACAGTCGGCTTCATTTAACGCCTTTAAAAATAGGGACAAAGCTCAAGGTTGTATATGCTGAACCATGGATTCATCCTGTAAACTGCAAAGGAATGTGGCTGGAGAGGTTAGGGTCCTGGACTAGCCTGCTGTGGGTTCAAGTCTCAGGTGGGACTTGCTGCTGTTGCACCTTGACTAAGGTAATTCACCCAGATCGCTCCAGTTAAATGCACAGCTGTATAAATGGGTACACGTTTAAACCTCTTTGCATAAAAGAGTCAACCAAGTAAATTAAAAATAATGACAGAATTTGCTACTTCACTGATCCTTTTTAACTGAAGCTTAGGAGACAACTGAAGGATTTCAATCTGATGACAGTATCACAAAGAGAAAAATTGCTGTCTGAGCTCAATCAGAAAAAAATATTTGTGGCAAAAATGAAACTGGAGAAATGGTCGCTTGAAGTGCAAATGTTGTTTTTAATAGGCATTCTTTGAAAAACTGTCATTTTTCTATATGAAACCTTACAGAGTGTGAAATCCGTATGCTAGAGAAATTCTCGCAGGCTCATCTTGTGGTACATGTGGGACATCGTAGCCTGAGCAGCCTTAAAGAACAAACCTGCAGTTTTACAGCTCAACAAACTGAAAGTGGTCTGATGAAAGCAGAGTGGCTGTGCAGGATTCACTGCCAGCTGAGCTGTTCCACAGCGTTTATTTTTAAACGCTTTTTTTTTTTAACATGCCTCTGAATGTCTCCAGTGTGAACGGTTTTCAGCCTCTCTGCTGTTATTTTTTTCATGTTCTGCAGTGTGTGCCCGGAGTGATGAGGCGACCCTTGTGGGGAGGCTGAAGTGATGAGGGCTTCAACGTCTGCGCCGCAGTAAAGTCATCACAAGTGTGCTGAGCAGCCCCCCTCTGAAGAACAGCTCTTTCAGCGAGCGCCACTGGAAGGCAACTGTTGGGAGAGCTAGCTCCGCACGGGGGAAATCTGATCGGCACTCTTTCGATTTCACCAAAACATGAGAAAGCCACGTTCCCCAAACCCAGAACGTCAAATCTACAACTGCAGGGCCACTGGTGTGAAACACTGAAGAAGCGTGAGACCTCACGTCTGTGAGATAGGGACTGCTCATGATCGGAGATGAGCAACAGTACATAGCTACAAAGTTAAGCCATAAAAAACCTGTCTATCTTGGGATTTCCATCTGTTTCTAAAAGGGACTGCCTGTATTTGCAACTTAAAAAAGATAACAAAATACTTTCGAGGCCTGAAGTTGCATACTGCACTCTTTTAAGTTTCAGACAACTGACAAAAAAGTGCAGCATGAATTAAAAATTTTACTGCTAGTTTAAACAAAGCAGTGTGCAAAAATTCAACTACTGCGGAAAAAATATAGATGTGGAAAAAACAGGTAAAGCACATATTTGAATAGACAAGCATCATCATGTAGAATGAAATATCAGTTTGTCTGAAACCAATATTATCAAGAAAATAACTCATTTATGTTTGTAAGCAAAACAATAGAAGATTTTACTCTTACAAAAGTGGCAAAAAAAATTAAATATATTTTCTGAAAAAAGCCAGATATTCTCCAGAACTATTTCTGTTGTCAACTTTAAAAAACACATCAATTGAAAAGACTTCACCTTAATGTGTCCTCCATAATTAAAAAAAAATATATGCCGACTAATACTCTTGAGAAATACATAATCTCAAATTGCATTTCCTTCTTTTGAAAAGACATTTGACTTCATGATTATCCAGAACAAATGAATGAAGGAGGAGCAAGGCTGGATGAGAGAGTAGATGCCGCCTCACCAGAATCTGCAGTATATTTTGCCTGGCGCTGATATAAATGGCCGACACTGCTCTGACTTGACTGTGCGCTACCACTGCGTTTTAAAACTGCAGCTTCTCTGACTCAAACAATTTCTTCTGTTCTACAAAAGATGGAAAAACCATCTCGTGTGTAAAAAGCAGCAAACTCTTCGGGCTGCTCAGGGAAGGAGTGTTTCTTACCACAGAGGTCAGCAGGCCCCGTGCCCAAGTTTTCCCCGCGGATCGTGACTTTCGTCCATGAGGTCCCCTCATTCGGCGAGATGCCTGTGACCAGAGGGGGCTGCCGAGCACGAGACATGACAGGCTGTAGCAAACCGGGTCCCCCAGAACTTTCAGCAACCTGTCAACACAACCACAGGCAAAGACAAAGAGCTTTTAGAATGAAAATCGTTGGTCTGGACCCCATGAGTGTGCAACAGACAGGTCCTGAGCCAGTGGGGAAAAAAAAGCAGGAGAAGATGATGAAAATGAAGTGGAAAAAGGAATGTACACTGAGAAATAAGCAGAATAAATAAATCTGTTGGGCCTAGTGAGTTGCCTCTGCTGCACACTGTAGCAGTTTCTTCCAAAGGCTTTGGAATGACAGCGTTTACCGTTGTAAAAATAAACAGCCAGGCAGACACAGGCAAACAGAGGAAAATGAAGGCGTATTTTATTATTCACCCTCAAAATAAAGTATGTTCCCATTTTGAAAGCTGTTTATTGAATTGCATCAATTTGTTCAAAGCGAAACGGAAAAGAAAGCTCTTTAAAAAAAAAAAATCAAATCAATTTTCACTCAGAATTACTCATGTTTAAGAATGCGCCCCAGCCCCCTTGGCTGCAACAGCTGCAGTAGGAAAGAGCTCCACTACAGAACAATATACAGTATGTTGCATCATTTCAACTGCACTGGCAAAAACAAGCATCAGCACCAGTTATTCTTAGTCTTACAGTATGTTTTTGAGACGCAGAGCATTCCATATTGCCGTGGTCAACACTGCTTAAAGCTAGCATAAAACAGAAAAATAGACACATAAATCTAATATAGAAAAATAGAATCATGTCACAGAAAGTGGAAAGAAATTGTTACACTTGAAACAAATATTCAAAAACACTTTTTTACAGGCTTCTAAAAATAGTGGGATTATAGTCTTATTATTGGCTGTAGGGGAATAATATGTCCCTCACTGAGAGAAAGAACAACATTGTAAATAGACAGAATAACGACAGCACTAACTTTTGCAAATAAATCTGGGCCAGCTTTGACAGAGGTCCAGGAAAGGTGAACACACTGCACATTTTGCAGCGCAATGCAGCCACCTTCAGCTCCTCTACACCAATACAATACACCTTCTATAAACAAGGGTTTGCATGGAGCAGAATGCGAACAAGTGATCGGAAAATAGACTGGGAAAGCTACATACGAACTCGTGCATAGCCATGACTTCTTTCAAAGTCTTAAAACGAACAACATAAAATGTGCTCGCAAACTGAACATAAAATGGAGTGGCATCGGATTATCCAATTCATTCTGGGACTGCAGGCATGATCAGAGCAAGCTTTGCAATAATTTACAGGAGTTACTCTCACGGTTATGTGCTAAACAAAACTTGATGGCACGGAGTGTGAATGTGGTTGAGCTCCGTAGAGAATTACACCACTCTAAAACGCAGTATTAGGTGCTAAATTATTTTTATTGACGACCATACACGCTTTAAAAATGTTTAAAAACATGGTACTGTAGGTCCCAAGAGCAATTACATGCATAGTTAGCCAGTAAGCACCGCAGTCATTTCTTTTAGTCTTTAGGCTGTACTTCTGCAGCACATTCAAAAAGAAAAGCTACCTGGTGCCAAACTGAAAATACTTCCTCAAATTAGGCTTAATGAGATGAGAGTATTTTCATCTGCATAAAATAAAACACTGGCAAACTATTGCTGATATATATCTTTTTTTTTACAAAATGGATGAAAGCATCTTAATAAAGTGAATGCAAATAACTTTCCTGTGAAAGCATTCACATTCGATATAAAAAAATATGGAATTTAACACTACGCGTGTATTTATTCTAGACTTTGTCGCTTACAGGCTATATAAAATGTTATGTATTATTTTTGTGACTTTTCATGTTATTGATACTGGCTGAGACAATTTGTATTTGAATTCTTTAACTGTAAGGTTGACACTTCAAAGAACTCTGCGGCAGAGCTCACTCAGAGAGCAGCTGAGATTCGATTTTACATCACGCTCTGGGATGAAGCACAGCCTTAGAATAAGCTTCTGGTCAGCATCATGATTTGTCACCAGCTCCACGTATTACAATCTGTCCTGCAAGGGCTGTCCAAAGCACTTGCTGAAAGTTGAAGGAGGAGGCAAAGTTCCTGTTCGCACAGGAGTGCTTGATTCGCTTTCAAAGGCCACAAGAAAACCTGAAAGGTGGTGTTGAACCTCAAGGCCTGAACTCGAAAGTACTGATGATTCTGCAAGTTAAAATAAATACCGCCGAAAAAACAAGAGGATGCAATTTAAAAAAACGGGAGTGAAAAAGATCACGGTAAATGGCACGGTTTCCATAAACGCTTTAATACATAAGAGGTAGTGTATTAACCCGTTTGAACCAGAGTCCACATTGATCTTCCTTTATTTCGACTGAAGTGATATTTTTTAGATACGCACAGAGCACTGTCAATGTACAGACTGGAAAGTCCTGCATACTGTACCTTACGTCACCTCCCAGCAGGTTTTATTTCCCACGCAAGAAAACCAGCTGCCTCCCGTTGGCGTTATGTCGTGGATATATCTTGGTAGGTATGTGACATTAATGAACAGGCTCAATGTAATTAGAATGAATCCAACTTTATTAAAACGCACTCTTTTCTTCCCCCTCAAGTGTCTCACTCAAACAATTTCTGTTCCTGATTTAAAAAAAAAATCCTCCTCTTTTACTCAGCACAGTGCAAATTTGATAACTTATAATTTGCCTCAGTGCAGCAACTGGCAGAAGCTAGGGCTGGCGGCCAAAAAGGACTTTTTTAAATCTGAAATACATTTTGACAAAAATGCAACAGCAAAGTACCACTGAACTTGTAATGTTTACTGGGAAGGTGCTATTCTTTTGTCATTTAAAGCGAATCCCGGCATTTAACACTGCTAAATTCCCCCAGTATCCATTCGCATGACCCTCAAGATCCACTTGAGCTCAGCGCTGCCCCGTCGGCCCAGGCCCTCATGACCTGAACGCTACTTCCTCGCAGGGCCCAGCGCTGGATAATAGTCCTTGGGCAGGGTTCCTGCGTCCACGCAAGGCCCAGAGAGTAAAGTAAACAGAGTCGGTCTTTCTCACCCACCCCGTGAGCAGCCTCTCGACCGGCCTGGAGACCACACACCCAGACCACACAGCACCAGCTGAAGTCTCTCTCGCACGCAACGGCTCCAAGCTGTCACTCTGCCCGGGCCCGGGGGGGCCGCAGACTGAGCAGAGGGCGGGGAGGAGGGGGGGGGTCTCAGTCTCCTGCTGAGAAAACATACCGGTCGCGGCCTTGTGCCGTAATGAGCGGCGACTCGCCCTGTAGCAAGAAAGGGCCGACCGAGGGGCAACCACCACGCTCGTTTAACGGCAATTAACCACCCGTCCTTCGCCACGTCAAGACCCCCTGCTCATGTGGCAACAGAGGAAGAGAGAGACTGAGCGCCGCTCCAGAGGGGAAGGGCCCTGAGCTTATACAGCGGCAGATCTATCCGAAGCCATGTTGCAATGAAACCGCTACGGCATGCGTTAAATGGCTCTGGAAGGTGTTAGTTCGGACTGAAGTGAGAGATTCCTGAGGACGTGTATGCACACTGCACAACACCGCTGACAGCACGCAGTGGAAGGAGCTGAACGTGTGCAACGTTCACCGTGAAGGCTCTCAGGGCCAAGCGCTGCGAAAAAGCCTATAAAAGCGAACTCACAGTAAAAAGCAATTACCCTTACGAGATTCTGTGGCATCCATATGTGTGCTGCATCTTTGTGTCGGCGCGCACAGGAGTATCTTGAAATATGATGCATTTCAGAGGAGTGCAAAGCTGCTGAGCTCTAAACTTAGTTTCAGTAACTTCCTCTCTGGATTTTTTTTTTAATCAACACTTTAATGTATCAGAGTGAAGCGTTCTACATGCATGGTTCCAATTAAGTTAGAAGGATGGCAACAAGTAAGATTATTTACAGATGATTTACTGTTTTATTAGCAGTGTTTCAAAAGCTGCACTTTACAGCTATAACTTAGGCTTGATGAAGGGCTACTAACATGACAGCAGTGCTTCACAGGTTACCCAAACACTCTTAAGGTGCAAAAGCATAGCTGGGAAGCTGCTGACACCTGGAGTACTAGTACAGCAGCAGCAATCGTCCTCTGGCAACAAGCCACTATCACAAGAAAGGAGTCACACTTTCTCTTCACAACTGATTTTGTTGTTTATTGCATAACACTTACTTCACTTGGATCAAAGGCAGTTGTCAGGGCCTATTTTTTCATCTTTATCTCTACTTATAAATTAGTGATTACCCCTCAGAAACTGATTTAAAAAAAGCCCTGTCCTTTCGCTCATGTCTCAGTGCGAGTCCCCAAGGTTGTGGAATGATCGCCCAGCATACTGGATCTAGTAAGTTAGTCTAAATCATGTCTTAAACTTACTTCTGTGCGCTTTTAATTCAGGATTCACATGCTTATTGTGCTTCTGCCGTTGTACTGTAAAGCACTTAGAGGCGTGATGCGTTTGCTTGGCTGTAGCTGTTTTTTGACTCCCACGAACAGTATTTACAGAACTAAAGAAAATACCCAATCCTCGTATTTTCCCTCTATCTTTGAAAGTGAAAATAAGAAAATCACAAACTGCTGTGCTATCTAATAATCGTATGTTCTGAAAGGCGAGAAAACTTAATTCTACATGAACCTGCGTGCTTTCGCACACGTCGAAGGAACTGCTCGAAAATCAGAAAGATGGCAGCACCTGCTCCTGAAAGATCTCTTGAAAGAGTCTCGCTCTTCCTCTCATTGTTCCTCCATTATGTATGCCTCAAGCATCCACTACTACTGCGCACAGCTCAGATAAAACAGCGTTTCCCCACATTTTAAATTCTGGCCGAACTTCACCACGTAATACTTTACTGCAGTAGAAGACACTGACAGAATTAAAAGTTTCGTTTCTGAGCTTTAGAGGGCAGCAGACAACACTATGAACGGCCGTACAAAATCATCCTTCAGAATCCCAGACATCACTCCTCTCCCAGGCTTCCTGCTCCATTCCTCACAGCACTGCACTGGCAGCACTAGTTATTACAAAATGCGCAATCTACTTCCTTACCTACAATGCACATTG